GGAATCCCGGGGTGTCACCAGAACTAGTGTCCCCACTGGAAGATTTCCCCACTCCTGGTGACAACCTAAAATGTAGGATCTCCTTTCACTTTTTCTGATAATGGTCACAAGGACAAAGAGAGGGTGAATCCGCCTAATGGGGACACAGCAATAGAAACCTATCAGGGGTTCTAATCCCTCTCCAATCTATCCAAAACTAAAAACGTTTTACCTTTAGTTACACTTTAACCACTTGCCTTGCAGGCACTTTTACCCCTGTGCCCGGACCAATTTTCAGCGCTGTTGCACTTTGAATGACAATTGCGCGGTCATGCAACATTGTACCCACATGGAAAATTTTTATCATTTTTTTTCACACAAAGAGAGATTTCTTTTGGTGGTGTTTAATCGCCACTGGGTGGTTTATTGTTTGCACTATAAACAAAAAAAGAGCAAAAAATGTGAAGGAAAAAAAAAAGTTTTTGTTTCCATCATAAAATTTTGCAAACAGGTAATTTTTCTCCTTCACTGATGTGCGTTGATGAGGCTGCACTGATAGGCAGCACTGATAGGCACTGATGAGACAGTATGGATGAGCAGCACTGATGGGCACCGATAGGCTGCACTGATGAGGAGGCACTGATGGGCAGCACTGATGGGCAGCATTGATGGGCAGCACTGATGGGCAGCATTGATGGGCACTAATAGGCAGCACTGATGGGACAGCATTGATGGGCACTAATAGGCAGCACTGATGGGCACTAATAGGCAGCATTGATGGGCACTAATAGGCAGCATTGATGGGCACTAATGGGCATGGATGAGGTGGCATGGATGGGCACTAATGGGCATGGATGAGGTGGCATGGATGGGCACCAATAGGCTGCACTGATATGCAGCAATGATGGGCACTGATAGGTGACACTGATCATCAGGGCCGATCTGCTCTTTGACAGCTGCCGGTTACCGCCAGTACTTTCCTAACGCTGTAACAGCATGAGGAAAGTGCAGCAACTGTATTTACTCTGATCTGCTGTGTCATTGGACACAGCTGATCACGTGGTAAAAGGCTGCTGTGATTGTCATTTTACCTCATCACATGATCAACTGTGTACGTAGGACACAGCAATCGCTGGGTGTGCGCCGCTGACGTCATATGACACCCTCCCAGAACTGGACAACCATGCTGTAGCCGTCATTTGGCTATAGCTCGGTTGGCAAGTGGTTAAAGGAATGCTGAAACATCTAATGAGAATTTAAAGGATAAATTCACCTTTTGCTCAAAAGTAATAAATGCACATTTTTTGCAGGTAAAAAAAAAATGTGCATTTATTATTTTTGTCTGCAGGAGCCTGGAAAGCATTGCACCAGTAGAACGCTGATGCCATGCAGGTCTCCTGCAGACCTGTCAGAATATCTGCTTGCCGTAGGGGATGTATGAGCAAACAGATCTACTGACAGGAAGAGTCAATGAACTACCACGGCGCTCCGCAGTACTGTGGTAGTTTATTGAAAACTATATGACAGTTGCCAAGGCTGCCGGGACTTGTAGTTCATTCATTCACAGAACAGTGAATGAATGACGCGGCTTTGTGGGCAGAGTTCCACACGGCCATGCTGTTTTCAAATCTGACAGATAGTATGGGGAAATTTCTTCCGTCAGAGGGAGTGGGGAGCAGCGAGTGGCGGCTGCAACATTGGTAACATGTTACATGTTCCACCCTAAAAACTAGTTGGTTGAGGTGTATTTATACTGCCCTTCTCCCCCAAAGAGGAACTATACGCACCTTCACTACAGCACTGAGATGTCCCGGAGCTCCCTGACAGCTGCAGACATCTTTAGCTGGTCTGCTTCCTGGTACTGACCTTCTGCAGTTTTCATTGGCTAAGTCAAGATGATGTCACTCCCACATGTGCGCGGGAGTTCACATATATCTGCATTGTGTAAATTGCACAGTGAGCCGTGCATGCATAGCTCAGAGTACAGAGCAGGCAAGAAACCTCAGTGCGGAAGAGACATTGCTTCTGCATTAAAAATCCTGCCTATTCCCCCTTTTTTTTCCCCAAAGTTCCACTTTAACCCCTTGAAGCCAAGCGCACGCAAATATGCGGCTTCTCAGCGTGCAATTAGAAAATACATATGTGCTGAGAGCGCACGCCCTGCACATATGTCCGTGACTCACGGAAAGGTCCCAATCTCCCCTTTCGATCGGGACCTTTTCTGATTATGTGACTACCGTGATGGCGAATCACGGCAGTCACATGACCCTAAAACCCCGCCCACCTCCTGAAATTCTTAAAGGGCCAGGAGGCGCTGGCACTAAGAGGTAAAGCTGCAAACACACACACACACACACACACACGCGCTGAAGTGCTTTTCTTCCTAGCACAGAAAAAGCGATCTATCCCCCCATCATGGTTCAGCCGGTAGCACCAATGTTAAACACAACATATTTAATTGAATGGTGCCACACGCTGCAACCATAAGCCAAACGCTAAGCTCGCAGTTGCGGTGCGGTATTCAGCCTTTTTGGTTAAATAAAAGAGGCATTCAGGAAGTAAGTGGCGTACAACTGCAGTTAGCAGCACATACAGATCAATAACAAGCTGTCAGACGCCATGACTGTACACCTGTAACTGCACATCGCAATGATTAGTGCATATAGGATCAGACCTGGTTCACATATGTGCAGGATCGGTTTCAGTGCGATTTGTAAAAAGAGTCTGGTGCGATTTTGTTCAGTGGTTGAGATGCGAAATGTCAACGTGTATAACACTGGAAATCGCCTCTAAACCAGCCTGAAAATCATACCCGATTCTTTCTAAAATCACATTGCAGCCACCTTGCATATATATGAACCAGCTCCATAGAAGTTTGGTTCACTTGTCACGCGAAGCAGATGCGGTTCAAAACGCATCCAATTTGCATATATGTGAACCGGGGCTCAATGTCCAGATTCCTGCACAAGCTATTCATCATGACTGTCCTCCTTAGTTCAGCAGCAGTTGGTGTGACACCAGTCTGGATATAATGTAGTTGGAATGAAATGATGAACGTTACCTGAGTGTTGCAGACCTGGCAGTGGCGTTGCTCTGTGGATTTGTGAATGGGGAGGAGGAGAATCCAGCATGGCTTGTAGGATGGAGCCGTGACACTTGGCAAACAGCTGAGGGGAGTGTCTGCTGTGATTACCGCAGGCTCAGGCTTGTCCTGATCTTCCAACGTGGAAAGGAAACTCTCAAAACAGATTCTAGGAAATATTTCATGTTGTATCTGCATTGATTGGTAATGGCCGTATTCATCTCCCAGACATCCAGGTTCAAGTTCTATCAAAGGCTTCCTAAACAACACATTCCACAAGCTTTTTTCTAATTTTTCTCGGAGTATTTTGAAATCTTTTAGGGACCATTTACATTTGTGCAGTGCATTGATGAATGTTAGGTCATGTGGTATTGCATTGGGGATCCCCTTGAAATCAATGGGCTTCAGAAGCACCAAAGAGTCCACAAATTGGCCAGTTATTGCTGAAACAGTGATTACCTGCAAATGATCGACCTTGGATGCAGACTGGTAGCCTCCCAATGCTTTCATTGGGGCTTCAACCCATAGCTAGTCGCTGGGAATCCCTGCTGAGTGTCCTGCGTGTGATCACTAACAGCCTCCTTTGCAAGCGTGAACGGGGTCTTAACGGATACGATCCTAAAGGAACTTCAGCAACATGTTACATGTTCTACTTGTTTTTAGGGTGGAACATGTCACATGCTCCTGCAGCACCTCAATGATTCAAGCCCTCTGTGTGACAGCAGTACGGGGAGAAGTTCCCTGCACCAGCTGTCACTTTTTGAAAAGAGTGCGGCTATGCTGGGCTCCACCCACACGGCACATCATTCATTCAGAGTTCTGTGAATGAATCAACTACAAATACCGACATCCTTTGCTGATCGCTGGTGCAATGTTTTTCAGGCTCCTAAAAATAAATAAATGCCTATTTTTTTTATTTTCAAAATGTGCATTCAGATTTGTGCAGGCCGTGCAGCCTGAGTTTGCGCAGGTACAGCAGCCAGATCATTTGAATGGGCTGCTGTGCTCACGTTTCATGCAGGGAAAAGGTGCATGCATGGAATCCAAATGGTCTTATTGATCCTATGATCATGCTGCAGGATGAGATGCATGAGGGTGTCATTGAGAATAATTGGCACCCCCCGCTTCTTGCAGGAGATACGCAATAAGGGTGGGTGCAGATGTGGGGAATCGCATTGATTCCTGCACCTGCAACCATCCGGCAGCATGCAGGCTCGTGAAAATCTTGTCTTATTTTTTTTTTTAAAGATGAACTTATCCTTTAGGTCCCTTTCACATGTGTGCAGACCGTTGATGGATGAAAAATGGACATCAATGCATCTGTATGGAAAAGCAGATTTAAACAGATGATCATTTGCATCGGTCAACATTTGTTTTTTGAAACGGATCAAAGCCCAATTTTGGTTCCATTTGAAAAAAACAGAACCGACGGAAAACATTTTTGCATTGGTGGTGGATGTAAAAAACTGATGAAGGTTTGGTTCACACTATGCGGGCTGGTTGTAGGTGTGGGAATCACATCTGTTCCTGTACCTGCAGCTGAATCGTGCTGCTCTTGTGAAACACGTGGGGCTGCCATTCATTCTGAATGGCACCCCTAGGTATCTCAGCCCGCAGCGCAATTGCGGGTGAGGGAACCACAAGGAAACTGCATGGTCAAAAAGACCATGCGGTTTCCCTGTGGCCGCATTTTCAAAAAGGTGCACGCACATTTTTTTCTGCGGAAACGCAGGCAGAACAGCCCATTCAAATGAATTTGCTGCCGTGCCCAAACAAACGTGGGCAGTATGACCCGCAATAGTGTGAGCCGAGCCGAAAAACTGATAAATTTAATTCATTTTTTTCTTTGAAAAAACGTGAATGAACTGATGAAACAAACAATCTGCATGTATGCAAGGGGCCTAAAAGACCTATTTCATATGGGCGTATCAATACATACTCTATGCAGGGGCGTATTTACCACAAGGCACTTGCCTAGGGCGGCAGTTTTTAGGGGGGCAGCACTTCCCCCCAGAAGAAGGGATGAAAGAAGGGACCCGCTCACCAAGGGAACCAGGTGGGATCTGAGAGGGGCTGCTTGATGGTGTATGTAGAGCCTGACTTTCGTTCTTGGGGATGTCTGGAGCTGTGAAGACGAGTGTCTTTCTCTCAATCGCAGGGGGAGGGAGGTAGTGGAAGGCTCTCCCGGGTGGGGGGCAGGGGTGTTGTTGGTCAATGTCAGTAATGTCAGATTCTCTCTGCTGGGGGGGGGGGGGGGGGGGGGGGGGGGGGGGGGGGGGAGGGAAGTGATGTTGGTCGGTGTCCGTAGGGGCAGACAATTTTTGTGTTGCCTAGGGCAGCACAAAACCTAAATACACTATTGACTCCATGTGAGGGCCATGTTCACCCGCACAGGTGTTCCAGGCAGCCAGTCCCATTGATGTCTATTGGGATGCAGTCACTGCATGGGCATCGCCTAGGGTTGCCACCTCATCTCTTTAGCCTGGCTTCACACTGATACGGTCTGGAATTCACAGCGTTTTCTGTGTGTTAATTCCGCACCGCATCAGAATCGCACCCCATTCATGCGAACCGCTGCGGGTGTGCATGTTAAGTTAACACCCCAAAATCAGTCTGTAAAACACAGTGCAATGTGCAGAATTGGATCGCATAGGTGTGAATACCCATGTGATCCGATTCTAGTGCCGACCCAAAAAAGGATCCTGCACCTTTTTGGTGCGAGTGCAGTGCGATTGGAGCCATATAAAATGTATGGCTTCAATCGCACCCCACACAAATCACATGCGATGTACCGCACCGCATATATGTGAACCCGGGCTTAAAATCGAACTAGGGTTGCCACCTCATCCCTTTAAAACTGAACACATAATAATTACACAGGTTCTGGGGCTGATTAAGGTGGTAATTAAACTCACCTAGTGCCTTATCTGCATTAAATTAGCCCCAGAACCTGTGTAATTAATGTGTTTGGCTTTAAAGGGATGAGGTGGCCACCCTAGCACAGCCAGTGCTCCCAATCTGACATAGTGTGGGTGCACAGCCATGCAAACAATCATTGGACATGCACCTGTGCAGATGTCAGATTAGGAACAGTGACTATGTCTGTGCAGCCAATGAATCTCTATAGACATCAATGGGACTTTGGATGTGGATCCTGGTCGATGCGATAATATATGAGAAAGGCTTTTTTTGGCCCTGCGGGGGTCACTCCGTGGAGGTGAGGTGATGGATCTCATTGTATTGTGTATTCACCTTCATAACACCAGCACTAAGAACTACTAAACCCCTTCACCGTTTTAAGGTGTATTGGACTTCACGTTTTGGCTGGAGTATATGTAGTTCATGGGACTTGTTGTTACCGGGTCCTTTGTATATTATTCAGTTTGTTCATATTATTCATGTCACTTCTACACTATCTATTTCACATACCCCTGATTTAGGGGTCACTGTCTTGTGATTTCACGTGTATTCTATTCATCACTTTTTCACTTGTATCCGTAAGTTTCAGCGGATTTTATATCTCAGCAATAGATTTGTGTTGCAGAAAGCCTTGCAGTTTTATTTTCATCCACACAGTTTTTCTACTGTTTATTTATTTTTATTTATCACTTCCACTTCTCTTTCATTATGTTCACTGTGAACACCTAAACTTTGGGAGCATTTTTTATAGCAACTAATCAGTTGCAGTATAGAAGTTTTGTCATTGTACTTATACAACAAATCCTCAAAAGGATCATATCACTGTTTTTGTGGGCACAATTAAAAAAGAAATACTTTTTATATATATGTTTTGTTCACCCATAGTCACCTATTTATTTCTAGTGGTGTACCTAGGTTACACCTTTTTACGTTTGGGTGCTATTCACTGTTAACCACAGATTTGAATGTTTTCATGTGTATTCTATTCAATATTCTAATTTTGGTTTTGTGTATATTATTATTACAATTTTTAGTATAATCTACACCAGGGTGGATTTGATTTAAATCAAATTGATTTAAATCACAATTTAAATCACTAGTCAGTAAGGCTTGATTTAAATCCTAGTTTTCTACATAGACTAATTCTTGCTGGTATAACTTTAATATGCAAGTAGATGAAGATTTTTAGAATAACAACTTTTCATATTAGTTTTTTTATCCCCAGTTTAATAGGTTAATCATTCATATTTGGACAACTTTTCTGTTGTACTTAGGAAGGAGAAAAATAATCATTACCTTAATAATAACAATTTAAATAGATTTATTCAACTGAAACAATAACATTACAGCATATGGTATTTGCTTAAACAAACATCCATGTTTGTTAACTAATTTGGCTAAAATAAATATATTTTAAGAAACTTAGACTGTCAGCCCCTTCCTCCTCACACTTAGTTTCACTTTCTTCTTGTGCAGATCTATTCCACTCCAAACAATCAGAAAAATATTGTTTCTATTCTATTCACTGCACTTCTTGAAACTTAGCACTGAAGGGGTTGATTCTGTATTCATAGGTTTGTAGAAGTTAGGATTAAGGTCTTTTTCTTAACTCTGTTCATGTTATAACATTTTTGCTGTGAAGAAGAGGCATGTGATCTCCGCTGAATCAAATTCAGTTTTGAGAACTGCAAAAGTAAACCAACATCTGTGATAATATCTTGTAGGCAGAGAAACTGCCCAATAATCTTACAAAAACCTCTGGAAGAGTATGACATTGTGAATGGATTCATGGAATTTATTTACCAAAAAAATTAAACATATACAGCCTTATTCTACATAATTAAAAAACTAATCTTTATTTCATGATGGAATAACCTTTGGATGGTAATATATTTTCCTCAAAAAGCATTTTATTTAAAAAAATCCGATTTAAATAAAAAAAAATCCGATTTTTTAAAATTGTTTTTAAAACATCATTGATTTTTATCCACCCTGATCTACACTGTGTATGGTATAATCATAACAGGAGTTTATTTTTGACTTAGAAATAGCGTGGCACCAATTAGTCCTAAATTTGTCATTTTTCCATCTGGTATATGGTAAGGTGTTAGCAGCTTTTTAGGTATACATAATAGGGGACCCAGAGCACAGGAGGACCATACAGATACATCAATGGGACTGCCTGCGCAGGGATGCATGGAACACGTGCAGGTAAACGCGGCCCTCTCATGGGGGCCTGTGAATGAGGCCTACAAAATATATTCTTGAAACCCTTCCACCAGATGCTTATGAATACTGATCCATTCAATATTATGGGAATTAGATTGCAGTTTTTTTTAAAGCAGCTCAAGAACGTCAGAGAGATGTAAATGCCTCGATCTATGAATATAAACCTTGTCCGGGTCCCTTCCAGTCACTTCAGATGCATTTCTGCCATTTTGATGTGAGCAATACATCTGCAGAACAGCTAAAAGGAACACTGTGGCCCCTTTTCACACAGCCTTGTTTTTTTATGATTTACAACCATTTTACAGACATTACTTCATGTGTATATCACCGCTGAGAATCGATGAGAGTCTGATAACAGCAGTGGCGTGTCTCCTCAGAACACAGGTGAGGTGATTGGGTTCAGTCAGGTCACCTGTGAGGAGACGCACAGCAGACATCAGGATCTGACAGGACTGGCAGCATGGAGCCTAGACACTGACATCTCGCTGAGCTCCTGACGTTTGGTTTTCTCCGGTCTGCGGCGATTTACACTGCTGGAAGTGTGCGTCCAAACATCGCGAGGTGTGCGGTCACCAAAAATAAAAAGGTAGATCTCAATAACACAAGAATTTTCACTTTCTTGAGCAGTGTTTATTGTATCTGTGTTGTAAGAATGAGACATATTTACACATTTAGGGCTCATTCACACCAGCAGTTGTTTGGCTGTGTTCAGTGGTGTTGCCCAACGCAAGAATAAAGCAATTTGCCTTCAGTCCTAAGACTCGTTCACACTTGACCTTATTGCTAACTCTTGCCAAAACGCCCCTATAGCGTTTGACAGGCGTTTGGGAAGCGGTTTTTTTAACATCCCCAAATGCCCTATGCGCGGTTTTGAGGCGGTTGATAGGCGTTTGCCATGCGTTAAAACCACACCACAAACGTCTATAATGAAGTTAAATGGTATTATCGCTCCGCAAACGCCTGCCAGGCGTTTGTGGAGCGGTACTATAGACTTGAATGGGAGGCTTCAACTCTTCCTGAGTTGACATGAGGCGTCAGTTTTGCCCTGACGCAAATGCTTCAGTGTGAACTGCACTGTGTGCTGCCATGTGCAGAATTTTCGTAGGCGTTTAAGAAGCATTAAAAACGCTTCCTAAATGCCTATCTGACGCCTGCTGACAGAGCTAGTGTGAACGTAGCCTAAGGCTTCAGGTAATAGCTGTGTAAGTAAAAGTAGGACATGTTGCATGCTTCCGTAGCATGTTCCAATGTGGTATAATGTATTGCAACACACTACAGTGCATATGATTTACAGTACACAAAAGGAAAAAAAAGAGAAAAACTGCAATGTGTTTAGACTAGTGTTTCTCAACCTTTTTTCAGTCATGGCACCCTTTAACCTCTTCACGCCGACAGTACGCAAATATGCAGCCTCTCAGTGGCTGGGCCTTGATGCCGAGCAGCCGCATATTTGTGTTCCATTTGTGAACAAACGTGCTGAGAGCGCACACCCTGCACACTTCCAGCACATGTGTCAGCATTCCCACGAAAAGGTCCTGATCTCTCCTTGCGATTGAGACCTTTCCAATCATGGGACAGCCAATCACGGCAGTCACATGACCGTAAACCCCACCCCACCTCCTGGCATCAGAAACCGGGAGGCGCCGGCGTGAAGGGGTAAAATTATGGATAATCTCAAGGCACCCTTTAAAATTCTGCGCAATCAATGTAAAATGTAAAAAACTATTCTACACACATCCAGTACACCCGACGTTAGAGGTGATTCATTCTTCCAAAGCAAATACACCTTTGTACACTGGTACTGACTAGTATTCCAATGTGACTCATTGTCTCTCCCTCACTCTGCTAATGTGACCCCAGTGCTGACGGGGGAGGGGAGGGGCAAACAAGGATGATGTGCATGCACCTGATGTCCTCCTTATCAACTGATGATGTCATTGGTTGTTAGGATGCTGGCGGCTAGAAGGTCATAAAAGCGCACAATGAAAACCTGTGGCTTTGTGTACTAAAAGGCAGGATTGATCCACCTGCTGGCTTGGATACTTTTTTTGGGCATTTTGCCAAAGCACCCCTGCAGGCTCCCCAGGCCTGGTTGAGAAAGTCTGGTTTAGACAGTGTATTGCGACGCTCACCAGTGCATGCATGTTATGCACACAATGACATGCGCTGTGTGGTATGAATGAGCTC